AAGAAAACTCTAGTATCTACACTGAGCAGTGCTTCTCAAACTTCAATGCGCACAGAATTCATTTAGAAATCTTTTTTAAAGGCAGATTCACTTCAGTAATTTAAGATTCTCCTTTAATAATAACCTCCCAGGTTATGCCAATATTGTTGATCTCAAAATCATACTTTTAAATAGCAAGGGTTTAGAAAATAAGAGTAATTATGGAACAATCAAGCCTTATATTGTATATTTTCTTACTGGCCTGTGTCCCTCCTTCTTAGCATTTAGCAAAGCTGCATTTTTTAATTTTTGTGATTATTTGTGCAATGTATTTCTCCCCACTTCTCAGTGTCCTGTTTGGTTCACCACTTCAGTCCTGTTATCTGCATATTAGCACACATCTGGCACACAGCAGGTGCTGATGTTTTGTTTAAGAAATAAATCAGTGTCAATGAATAGAAATGCTAAAAAAGAGATAATGGGTTGAACAGAGGAAAGTCGGTGAGGGACACTCCAGTGAAAAGATATATGTTGATCAGAATGAAGAGAAAGGTTGTTGATATAGACTGGATTGCTATCATGTTAGACATAAGCATTGGTAGCCATGTAAGTAAATTATTGAAGGAGTGTTCAAACAAATGGAGACGACCTAAAGGGGCTTTGTTGAACAAACAGCCAGAGAGAACCCAGAGAAAGCACCATCAAAGAATATAGTCAGACAGAGGATTCTGAATAGAAGAAAGCACTAATAATGAAAAAAATTACTAACATACATCATCTAAGGCTAAAGATAGATTAAAAGTGGATTCAGAAGCTCTTAGGTTTAAACATCTTTCTGTAAATATGTAGATATATCAGATTTAGTAGTTAAGGGCACTTATCTTAAGTAGTCTTAGATATACAAAACAGATAGTGGGAAGGAACTATTTTGTCCTGAAAATACCCCACAACTGAGGGTAAGAAGGAAGAACACACCCCAGTCCCATTCTGTCCTTTGCCCCTTTGTTTAGTCTGCCAAAAATACTTGGAGTCAGTTGAGACAGAAGATAGACATCTGGCCATGTAAAACTATCTGAACCAATGCCAGTCATACATACTAGACAGCAGACATCAGGTTAATAAATTAATAATCACTATATCAGCCTGGTCTGCATTTAACACTCACCTAAATGATGTAACGTTTCAATTTCCTTTCTTAATCAAGAGCTTCAGCTGTCCTTCAATCAGGTTCAAACATATTCTAGATAGGTAAGTAGCAGTATTCACTCACCCAAACGATACTCATACAACACTTACGATATGCAAAATGCTGTTCAAAGTGCTGTCATAAACATAAAGTATTAATCAGTCACGAATAATGTTATGAAGAAACATATGCCTAATGGAGATAACAAAACATGTATGTGTAAGTAATTACAAAAGAAGTTAAGAATCTGAAGAGCTATGAGGGAAGAAGTATAAAATGTTTAAGGAGACAGAAAGATTAGAAAGAAAATTCCACTATTCAAGGATTCCTATTCAACATAAAGAACAAATGTCAGAGTCCAGTCTTCTAGCTCCCAGTCTTTTTCTAACAAGCCATTGTTACCTTTCACCACTTTTCATAAAATTTTTGTGCTACACTCTCAAAGTTTAGAGTTGTTCATCCTTAATTCTTCATCACAACTTTATTCCATTTATACTTAATTTGAGGTTACCACTGAAGATGTTTAATAATTCCTATCAACATTACCTGTAACTCAGATGGTAAAAAATTTGCCTATGACACAGAAGACCCAGATTTGACCCTTGGGCTCGGGAAGATCCCCTGGAGAAGGGAATGGCAACCCACTCCAGTATTCTTGCCTGGAGAATCACATGGACAAAGGAGCCTGGTGGGCTACAGTCCATGGGGTTGCAAAGAGTTGGACATGACTGAGCGACTACCACTACTACTACTGTCAACATTACAAAGAACAAAATCTTTTTACCCAACTTGGAAAATTGACATCACACAGGAAGTTCACATCTGGCCTTGCAGATTGTTAACCAGAAATAATAATATCTACTAGGAACAAAATTTGTACTTCCACTCCACATCCATCTCTCTCTCCAAAAAGACCCTAGCCTTGGGGATGGGGGGTAGTTGAAAAAATAACTATCTTTCATTGTGCTTCTGAACCAATCACAGGATCTAAAACCACTAACCCTTCCCTCATTCCTTAACTCGATCCTTTGGTCAAAAACAACTGGAATTTGTTTTACAGTTACAGGACTACTAGGAAACTATCTCTACCGCTAACTCTAGAAAAGTCAATTCAACACAAAATGCAAAGTTTTCCCATATAAGCCTGAAACGGGAACAAGTAAAAATGTAATGGTTGTCATCTTAATTCCATCAATAGAAACAGAAGAAATATATATATATTCTAAGTGTAGTAACAACAGCTTTGCATTTTAACCAGTGAAGAAAGATAAATGGAAAAGAACAAAAATAAGAAATTAATGTGTCTTCATCATTCCTTTTAATGGATGATCCAGTTTCATCAGTGTTAAAATGTGTGTGTGCTGCATCTACACAATAGCAAGTATTTACCCAAAGTATTATTTTTTATAGAAATAAGATAAATGTTAGCGTTAAGAACTTAAAACTCCATGAAGACAGTGTATTTTGTCTGTTCTATTCACTAATTTATCTATAGCTGAATTCTACCTAACACAGACAGTTCTCAATAAATATCTATAGCTGAACTGTGCTTAAAACACAAAAAGCTCTCAATAAACATTTGCTGTAAGAATGAATGAATGGATATCAGAAATTTCTTGACAACTAAATCTCAGAATCAACAGAGTATATTCTACTATGTCAGAAAAAAAAAGAAAGTAGCAATATTTAACTAAACATGAAGTTATTTTCAGTCTTTTTAAATCATGAAAAAAATGTGATCTCAAAAAACTGGTAACTAACAAGTTACTACTTAAGCTATGTGACTCCATGTAAGAAGTTAGTTTGCAGCACTGCATATTATATCCTGTATCATTAAGGGTAAAAAGACAAGGATAAAAAATTAGGGAGTAAAACTGAAGAAAAGTAGATAAAAAAGCATCAGTTACTGAATCACTCTGAAATTTCCCCAATTTTATGGATCTGTGAAGAACTATATCAAATTACCATTACTATTAAATTATTTCACACATAAATATATGAAGTCACCAGTATTGATTATCAAGTGTTAGATGTTAAGAAAGTAACAATACACAATCTGGTTGGGGAGATTGTTTTTGTCAAAAATGAAAAAAATAATTACTTTTCTTTGTTTGTATTTTACCTCCCATCATGTTATGATTAACTACATCCATCTCTGTCTCCCTCAAAATATTGTGTAACTCTTTGAAAATAACGACCTTTTGTTCCATTGTCTACTTGTTGAATTACATCTATCCCTGCCGAAATAAAATATATGCCTATTAAAATTCTCCAAAGGATTTATTTAACAAGTCAATCAAACACCAGTAAAAGCCACAATAAAATCTTAACTATTTGTCCAAAAGCAGAGGCCTAGATCATCTAATGTCATAGACTATGTAAAACTATCTTTTAAACTGTTAAGTATGTCTGCATTTGACGATGTTTATATTACTGCTTCACAGTCTCAAAAAAACATGTAGCTCTATGAATTATCAAAAACAGCTTTTCCAATACCAAGGGGTTACCTAGTTTATTTAAAGACTCAATCATCATTGAGCACGCTGTCTCAGTCATGTCTGACTCTTTGCAACCACATGGACTGCAGCCTGCCAAGCTCCTCTGTCCATGGGACTCTCCAGGCAACAATACTGGGGTAGGTTGCCATTTCCTCCTTCATTTCCTCCTCCCCCTCCTGGCCCAGGGATCGAACCTGTGTCTCCGGTGTTTCCTGCAATGGCAGGCAGATTCTTTACCACTGAGCCACTTGGAAGCCCACTGATTCATTACTTAAGTGAAAAAGAAAGTGACCCAAGTTTTTGAAAGACCCAGTAGAAAACTATAACAGTACCAGAATAGTACAAGTAGAAATACTAGACTCTCCCTCCCCAAGTACAGAATGATTAGATCCTTCTGTCAATCAGAAAATCAATACTGATGTGGTTTTTACACACAGCTGTATCTGCTTCTTATTCACCTTCAATTAGTAAGTAAAATTCACCCGGGAGGGAAAAATATAGAAAAATGATCTGAGTAGAAGGATCTTTTTAAAGACAATCTCTGCTACTATAGAGAAAGATTTGCTCGTGATCAGAATATATCAAAAATACACAGTTATCAGACTTGATTTTAAATATTTTAAAATATAAAAAATTTACATAACTAATTTCAATCAAACTACATAATTACATACTTTAGACTAAGTTCAACTTAGACTAAGCTTTTCAAAACATTTTCTAAGATTTCAATAAATCCACAATTTATGAAATTACTTATCGGAAACGAAAATTCAGCTCTTCAACGAGTGACAGTACCTCCAGAAAAAGTAGTAAGTCAAGAGGAAAAGATTCGTTTATGCACACTTACATCTCTTAAAAAGTAGAGTTTAATATTCAGGTTTGCATTATTGATTATTCCATATTGAACACTGTCCATCAAGCTTGGCATCTCAAATTTGTCATATAGTTATTTGCCTAGCAGATGTGCTCATTAATTTCAGAATGACATAACAGATTTTGATGGCTAACAGCAGAAGAAAACAGATTTGCCCTGAGTTTTACTGGATGGCACTCATGTGTTAAAAAGTCTGCAAAAATACCACACCTCTCTAGGTTTCTTCAGTGCTTCACACTCTGTTATTAAACAAGTAAAAGATATACTTTTAATTAATATCCCTACAATACAAAGCTTAAATTTTGTTTCCTTCATTCAAAGTATGCAAGTGTTTCACAACCACAGATTATCCCCAAATACACAGAGTAAAAGTACTCGCAAAGTTAAGAAACAATACAAAACAGCAAAAAAAAAAACTTTAATTTTTGCAAAGAAACAGAACACCATGACCATGACTTGTTACCTTTTAAATGCTTCCGCTGGGTTTCTCTCACATTCCCCGGGTTGTAGGAGGCTTTGAACTGCTGGATCCCTTAGTTTGTCCTCATATCCTTGGAGTAGTCCACTACGACAGATCTGAGCAACCAGACCTCTAATAAACCCTCCAACACACAAAGTGTCAGAGTCCTGCGCTTTGCAGAAATGAAAGGCCAAAGCCTGGCGATGTAAACCTCTCTGCAAGCTTGTAGGTGAGCTTGGCCACAAGAGTTCAGTGCATAAGGCTGTCTTGCCACTACCAGGCCCTCCTACCAGTAACACACCCCAGGTAGCTCCTTTCCCAGAGACAACACTAGCATTATTCCCAGAATTCATTACAAGGGGTGGTGTGTTGACAGCACTGTTGCAGCAGTTAGTCTTCTCCTGGAGGCAATGCTGAAGCTTGTGGAAAACCCACTCCCTACAGTAAAACTGCTTCCCCTGCAGTAAACTCGTTTGAGCCATTTTGCAGACTTTCTCTTCCCAAGGATTAGTCATAATAGGTTTCTTATCGTCAACATTTGCTAGCATCTGGGTACATCAACACAGATCTTTACATCCATTTGGACAGAACTTGCATATTAAGTTGACTTTGAATGGCAGAGTAACCAGTTACAGTAAAATTGAACAGCCACAGAGTCCATCTGCCAACAGAATGTGCATGACTTTATTTGGCTCTTTATTCCTGATAATCAGCAGAGAATATATGTTTTTATTAATTGTTGAACTGGTGGAAAACTGCCTGGTTCCGAACCTTGGCCACACTTTTCCTATATCTTGATGGGTCGCGTAACTCCATGGTTACATCTGGAGTTTATGTGATTGTGGATATTTCAAGTATGCAGATGAGACAATACATCTGGAAAACTGAAGAGAAAGCCCAATCTTTCAATTTGTATAAAATGCTTCTCCAGATTTCCAGCGTTAACTCTGTATCTGAAAATTAGATGCAGAAAAACGTGTCCATTACAGTTAAATGCTATCAAAGGGATTACATTTATACAGTAGATTCTTAGTGCTATACTTCTTGTTGAAGGATAGTCAAAGTACTAGACCCTGCAGGTTTTAGGTATCTGGACAACTGCCAGAGAGCGAACTGCTTCAGATTACTGTCTCTTATGTGGCAAAAATGGCAAACCACTGTTAACACCTTCTTAATTCAAAGCATTCATAAAATGCATCTTTCAAGATAGATTCTTAATGAACCTGTTCACAAGTTTCTGCGTTTAAGATGTCCAGGTAATCAATAATTCCCACTAGCAACTAAATAAAACAAAAATATCTTCGTGCAAAATATCACATGCTAAAAAGCTTATTTGTCAAAGAATACAATTATCCAGTTACAGTAATCTCAAAAACTCATACACTTCATCTCTGGCACTTTCAAAAAGTTGGATAACTACACCAAAATCATAATTACATTTTCCTTTCTGTACTTCTCTTCCTCTATAGTTAGGCTTCCCAAACAGCTACACTTGAATCAAGTTACCCTGGATTTTTACAACCTCACTGTAGAAAGGAGAAATAAAGACTTTAGGCACATGCAGTATCATCCTTAACTCTAGCCAAAAAGGTCTTTCCGACAAGCTTGGCCAAATAGCGCCAGTTAAGGAAGCTCTATCAACTTGCACAGACCAGCCACTCAAAGGGCTCTTCTGACTTGACTGGCCACGATCCTTTGTTGATAGTTTGCAAAATCTAGCGGATGAGTATCAGGGTTGCGGCTGGATGGGAACGGGTTAAAAAGAAAAATGGGGAAAGGGGTGAGCTTACATGAATGATAAAAATCCAAACACAAGGTACTACGCGAATCCTTCGTTCCTCTGCGCCAAAGAGGAAGGTTTCGGAGAGGAGGTGAGGCATGAAATTTACTACTGTGGCCGGAGAAAAGGCTGCCGGGGAGAATTCCTTCCAGGCAGGAAAGGGATAAGGAATAGATGGCTTGGGCTGGTGGGTGTTTGCCTACAGTTCCGGCCTCTAGTTTCAGCTGATAGACAAAAGAAACTCCGGGATTTCCAGCGACAGGAACCTCGTTCGGGTTCAGTGGCCCCGAGAAGCCACAGGAGGGCCACCTCGGAGAGGCCAAGGACCGAGGTGCAGCCTGCACACTGAGGTCTTCCTTCCAGAAGGCTGGGAACGCCTAGACACTTAGACACCCGCCCCGCCCCGAGATCGGGGTGTGTCCTCTGAAGGGGGAAGGGGTGCCCGACGTCCTCGCCAATCCTAGATGTGGGGTCGCCTCGGGTCGGTGTCCAGCTCCGCGCCCCCAACCCCGGGCGCTGCTCCCGCCCCCGCCCGGCCCGCGGCGGAACGACGCGAGAAGTCGGGTCTGGAGCCCGGGGCTGAAAAGGGTGAGTGGGTGGGTGAGGTCCGAGCCCAGCCACAGCCCCCGAGATTCCGACCTGAAGGTGGGGCCTCGTTTCCACCGCTGCTGTCGACGCCGCCCCTCGGTTACCTCGGTCCCGGCTGCCGCCGCCGCTGCGGAGTCTCAGTCTCAGACACTTGCTTTGCTGAGAAGCCACCGCCGCCAGCGTTCTCTGAACTCTCACTGCAGCCGCCTCCTCCGCCCGGCCCGGAGAACGCTCCCGGCTCCAGATCCTCCTCTTGGCCCCCGGCAACTGCCAGTTCCAGCTGCCCCAGCAGCTCCGCCGTGCTCCTCCCAACCCCCACTGGCCAACCGCCGTCGCTGCCGCCGCCGCCGCCACCGCCGTCAGGGCTGTGACTGTCTCAGGCAGCCCGGGACCGGCCGGCTCCGCCCCGCCCCGCGGCCCCGCCCTCTCTGCCCAGGCCCCGCCCCTCCGGGCCGCCCGGCCTTTCTTCTGCCGCCGGCTCCGCCCCCTGCCTCGCCCCTCCCCCACTGTACCGTCCCGTCGCCGCCCGTGCCTGGGCGTGTGCAGCCCAGGGACCAGCTGCTTTGCACCGCGGGGAGACCTCTCGGAGGGCTGACTGGCGGCTCCGCCTTTCTCGAGGATGGGGGTGGAGAAGGGGGCGGGGGCTGCGTTCTCACGTCCCCGAGCTCACGCGAGTCGCTGCCCCCACCCACCCCGTCACCACTCGGCCCTGAGCCTTCCTTTGTCTTCCAGTCTGAGGGACTCGCTGGCTTTTGGGGCCGCTGCTAGGAGGGGCACTTGAGCTAGGAGAGTTGCCCCATGCCACTCCCTTAACCTTTTTGTCCCCAAAGGGCACTCCAGGCCGGTCCTTTTCTTCAGTCATGCGGGTCCCCATTCAACCTATTAAATTCCGGTAATGGTTTAACTTTCTCGGTCTGGGACTAAAAGAAACAAGTAAGGACCGGGAAGGAGGTTGTGAAAACTAAAAATAGTAGGGGTATGGGGCGATGTTCCCACTTGCCTCATGAAAAGGACATGGCCTCCATCAGATCTAGTTGAAGGCTATCACTATTGGATCTCAGGCAGCTTTGACAGATTGATTACTCTCCGAGGCCACTATGGGAGAAAAAGACCGCGATCGAGGGCAGAATGCAGAATAAGATGAACTACCCTGGAGGACCTGACCACAGCAGTTACTTTTGAACTAGATGAGCCAGTTTGCATTCACGTGAACCTGGATGAGATTCCAAATTTCTGCTGGGAACGTACTGTCAACTGATAGATTAGGAAATGTAGTATCTTTTTTATTATTTATGCTAAAACCATCAGCTCTCCTCCCAGCCTCCATTAATTTAAATGTGCTTCTATCTTACATGCTGAACCAGTCTCCCGTCTGTTTTTAGGAATTTCGAAGTATAGCTATCACTCTTAATTAGAAAAATGGACTGTACTTATGCTTACTCTTCCATTGTGTTTATTCTCAAGCTATCTATGGCACTTGAGTTTTGTTGATCTTTAATTTTAATGCATTTGTTGCAAATTCTGAGGTTTTTTTCCGAGAACAGAAGCAGAGTATAAATTCTCCAGAATTAGTGATAAAAATTGATTTTTAAAAAGATACAACTTTGATGTGCATTTTGCTTAAACCGTTTTAATTACCACTTAACTGGTCATACATTATTGCCATTGGAAAAGTTGACTCCAGTTGCATGGTTGTAAAATTGTATGTTTAGAGGAAATTTTAAATACCAAATATGTATATTGTATAATCATTTCCATTAAACTATTTGTTAATATATTAATTAAAATAATTTCTGTCCAATAGAGAAGTTACACAAACTTTTCGTTTACTGAGCCTGTTTTTTTTTCCAGATAACTAACCATCATGGAATTCTGTTTTAAATAACTTCAGCAATAACGAAGCTATAATCTTCAGACTCATTTAAAATTTTTTTCCTTTAAAATTTATTGCACATTTAATTTTTATGACTTTTTGCTTTCCCTAATAGAAAAGCTTCTGAAAAGAAAGGACTATGCCCTCCACACCCTTGTAGGTTTGTAGCAAGTTTCTCTGCATGTAAGGCATGTCTGTTCTTTTATTCCACACTCAACTTACATAGAGATTTTCTACATACACGGTATTGTGTTGGGCATAGTGGTAACTTATAAAAATGGACAAACATGGTTTCTTCAAGTCTGGGAGGCTGTTGCAAGGCAAAGGTAACCTGGGACTGCTCTAGCCATTCTTTCTTTTCAGAACACCCATTTATTTTACCAGTTTTTATATGAAGCAATGATTTTTTTAAGCTCTTTCCAACTCCTCTTGCCCAAATTACTGTCTCGGTCACCCAAAGTTGGAAGTCTCCACTGTTGCAAACAAACCATATGGTGGCTCACAGAGTAAACAATCCACCACAATGCAGCAGACCCAGGTTTGATCCCTGAGTCCAGAAGATCCCCTGGGGAAGGGAATGGTAACCCAGTCCAGTATTCTTGCCTGCAGAATTCCATGGACAGAGGAACCTGGCAGGCTACTGTCCATGGGGTCACCAAGAGTCAAATACAACTGAGCACCTAACACTTTCACTTTTCATATACGGCTTAGTGGGCCTATTAATTGACACAACTGGGACATTTTTTTAAGAAGAGAAGGAACTAATAAAAACAAAACTATGCAGTTCTTAGGTATACTTATCTATTGACCAAAAATTTGGTTCAATGATATTTGGTAGAGCTACTAAATAGTTCTATTTAAACATTATTTTCCAAAAAATAACAATAAAATATATATTAAAACATAAATATGTATTTACCTACCAGATTTTACAAAATGTCTTTTTGTCAATTACCTAAATGCCATTTTTTTAGCATTTGTACTTACTCTCAGTACATTTTCACATACTTTAATCAGTTTCTTAGCATATTTTCTCCACCACCAAATACTGGTATTTTTCTAAAAAATACATTTTGTTAAATACAATTTTCCTTTTTTTAATTTATTCATAAAATTGCCTGAAATCTTCTTCATGGATACATTAACATTATATCATTGCCATCTTCAATGAATGCTTCTTTATAGATCATAATATTTTTTTAAATTTTTATTTCGTATTGAAGTATAGCTGATTGACAATG